GCGTCGGACAGCGCCGCGGCGTCGGCCTCGCGCGCGGCGGACAGGTCGTCCAGCAGCCGCTGCAGCTCGGCGGCGCGCTCGCTGCCCGCGCTCGCGCCCGCGCGCTCGGACGCCGCCGCGGAGCGCAGGCGCTGGGCCTGCCGGGGAGATGGGAAATTGCCAGTTTGTGTGGCTAAACAAGTCACACCATGTTCACTCTACTTGGAAGGTCTTGGCAACCTAGTCATAGGGCCGACCCACTCTGTTGCGGCGCAGATGCGGGCTGCCCCCGCCTACAACGGAGCCGGAAGGGCGGGGGGGCTGGGGGTTGAGGAGGCTGGCGAGCGTGCGTGCGTGCGTGAGTGCGGCAGCAATCTGTCGCACCTCCGCGTTGGCGGCTGCCAGGCGCTCTGCCAGTACCCTGGCTTCCCGCTGGGCGTCTTCCAGCGCGCCCTGCAGCGCCTGCGGTCAACAAAAGGCAGGGGGCCGGCCGGGGGCCGGTGGAGAAGCAGGCGCTGCAGTCGGTCCGGGAGATTCCGCTGCACCTGGGCTTTCATTCTTCGCAACCCGACAAGCACTCGGGTTTGCAAGCCGATGCGGATGCATACAACACAATCACTCCAGGAAGTACGAGAAGTTGTAAAATCTGGAATGGTGACTGCAGACCTGCCCCATCTGTTCCCCACCCTCGTTTTTGATCGAGACTCTTAAGTGCCGCCGGCTGCGCGCCCCCACACACCTGCTGCTGCGCCTCCCCCGCCGCGCGCGACGCGAGCGCGCCCGCCGCCTCCGCCAGCGCGGCCGCGCCGTCCTGCAGCCGCGCCTCTAGCAGCTCGCACGCATCCTTGGACTCCTATTGATGGGTCCGAGGCAATCGCGACGGGCCGCATGATGCAACGAGGTTGGTGACCAAGAGGCAGATCACGGTTGTTTTGGAGCTTTGTGTTGTGTGATGGATAGGTATTGTCATGAGGACGCAGTATGCAGGGAGTAGCAGGTGGGGTCGTCATAAAGGCACTGGACCTGCCCTCCAATTGTGGTGAATCAGAGGCTGCTGGGCAGTTGGGATCTCCCCGCATGTGCCGCGCGCGCAGAGCACAAGCTGCACACCGACCCCAACGCCGCCGCATCAGGGCGGCGCCGCGGCCGCCACGGCGTGGCGCAGCAGTGCACGGCGGGCGGCGCGTGTGTTTGCGCTGGCGGCCTCGCCTTGAGCTCCTGCTCAAGCCGCCGCTGCCGCCCCTCCGCCTCGGCCGCCCGCGCCGCCAGCGACTCGCAGCGCTCCTGCTCGCGCCGCAGCTGGCCCAGAAGCGCCTCCGCTTGCGCCTGATGGTTCGGGGCCCCGCGTAAACGCAGCCACAGGCGCGCCATCGCAGAGGGGCGGTTGGTTGGGAGGAGCGCTTGGATTCTGGAGAGCCCTGCACCACGGCTGCAGCAAACATGGCAGGGGGCTGCTTAGGGCCGCGAGCGCGGCCGCGGGCGCGAGGAAAGCGGCGACGAGTCATGCAGGCCTGCGCAGCAGGCGCGTGAGGGCGCGGCGTGGCGGGCGCAGATGGCGCGGGGGCGCATGCGGGCGCGCACACCTGCAGCTGCGTGTGTGACGCGCTAGTGGCGTCCAGGTCAGCGCTGCTGAGCAGCCGCGCCTGGTTGGCGTCCTGGGAAACAAAAAGCAGTGCGGGGGGCGTTGCGGATATCTATATTCTCAGTTATAGGTCGCAGGCGGGCCTGCTGCTTGGTGGCGGTACTGACATCAGCGGCTGCGGCCTCTCCAATGGTGCCCAAGCGGCCTTTCGGGGGCAGACGCCAAACACGAGCGTTTCGTCCCACAGAGCTTGCTGCTGGCCAAGCCCACTCCAAGCACCGCCAAAGGCAGATTCCAACGCCCGTGCGGCAGCGCCCCTGCCCGCACCCGCAGCTGCCGCTGCAGCTCCTCCGCCCGCGCCTCCGCCGCCGCCGCGCCGCCCTCGAGCCGCCGCCGTGCGGCCTCGGCCTCCGACGCGCGCCGCTCCAGTGCTGCGGCCGCCGCGCGCAGCTTCACCAGGTCCGACCGCTCGGCTTCCAGCTTCTCGGCGGCTTCCGCCACCCTCCTCTCGGCGCTGTCGCGCGATTCGGCGAGCTGCTCGCGCGCGGCGCTCGCGTCTGCGACTCGGTTTGCGGTGCGCCGGCGTCACAGGCCGGTGACTTGGGGCCCCTTCCCGATTGCTGACCGCAAGACCGCAAGCAGGCTTACCAGCAGAGCGAGCATGCAGACAAGGGCAGCTTCCCAGCAGCTGCAGCGCCAACCCCCTGGTCCCCCACCTGAGAGCTCCTGCTTCAGCCGCTTGATTATGCCGTGCAGCGCTGCCGCCTCTTCGCCTGCACGTGCGCCATGAAGCAAGGTCACTCAACGGCGTCGCCATTGAGCGCAGTGTCGGGGCACAGCCGCCCGCTGGGACTGCCGGCCAGGCAGCATGACATGCACCGGCGTCAAGCTTAAGTAACAGGCTCGTCATTACAGAGGTGGCGGCGCTGCCCATCCCTGCGTCGCCGCCCTCACCTGAAACCCCCGCCTCCGCCGCCGCGCCGCCCGCCGCCGCCGCCGCCCCCGCGCCATCGCCCGGCCCCGCCGGCGCCACGGCGGCGGCGGCCGCAGCGGCCGTGTCGCCGCGCGAATGCGCTTCATCCAACAAGAACTGCAAGTGCTCCGCGTCTGACGCCAGCCGCGACGCGCGCGCACGCGCCTCGTCCCTACGGGCGACCCGGGCAAACACGGCAGCCGCGTCGGGTGCAGGGCGAGCCTACTTTTGGTGCGTGGGCCGTCGACCGCGGCCGAGCGCATGCATTTGGGGGCGTGGGCTCCTGGGGCGTTCAGCAGGTTGTGCGCCTGTGCGCCCGCTGCGCCTGCTTGCGCCAGTCTCGGGAGCGGGTCAAAGTCGCGAGGCGTGCGTTGCGGTGCCCCGCGCCGCTTGCCTCTCTGCAGCAGCGGCGCGCAGCTCGCCTTCCAGCTGCGCGTGCTCCTCCCTGGCCCGCGCCAGCGCCCGCGCCGCCTCCGACGCCTGAGGGGCGGGCGTGTCAAGGGGCGGCCGGAATTTCAGCGGTTGGGGTTCTAGCTGGCAGCCTGAGGCAGTGTCCCCTCCAGCGGGGAGTTGGGGCGTTGACCTAGTCAAACAATGCCCCCCCCCCCCCCCCCCCCGACGCTGCTGGCGCTAGGCGGCGTGGCGCCGGCGGTCCCAACGGGCCCCTTCTGCCGGCCCCACGCATGTCCAGCACCAAACGTCGCTCCTTCCCCTCCTGCGCCTCCACCCCTCAACCAAACAGCCGTCCCTTTTCCATCAGCTGGGCTCGCCCTCGTCAGCGGTCACGTGAACCAGCCACGCGGGGCCAGGCGCCACGCGCAGCCTCGACCGCTGCGCGCTCACCGCAGCGACCGCCGTGTCGACCTCCTGCCCCGCCGCTGCCCCCGCGCGCGCGTGCTGCACCTCCAGCCGCTGCAGCTCGAGCTGAAGCCGGGACACGTCCCTGGCCACCCCTGGGAGCAGAGCCGAGGACCACGGCACGTGTGGTGTGATATGGGTGAGGGGCGGACTGGGGTTGGGCGGCGTCACCGGGCCGGGGCGGCATTTGAAGCAGGGCGGGGGCCGGCGCGTCTGAGGAATGGCGGCGAGGGACAGAAGATGCCCGAAGGTTGAGGCTGACAGGCCGATCCCTCATGACCGCCGGGCGTTTGAAGCTGCCACGAGTCTCCCGCAGCTCCCAGTTGCTGCCTTTCAACCGCTCCGTGCTGCTTTGGCCAGGCGGCGTGCACCTCAAACATATGAGATTTTGCAACCCCCACGCGCCAAGAACAGAGCTGCGCCGCCCGAAGGCCGGCCGCGGCGCGGGGCGCACCCGCGTTTTCGCGCATCACGGCCCTCAGCCGCTCCTCCGCCTCCGCGCGCCCCCTCTCCGCGGCGCCCAGCGCCGCGCGCAGCTTCGCGCCATCAGAAGCTTCGCCCCGCAGCTGCGCCAGCTCGGACCCAAGGGCGTCGACCTGGGGCGGTTGGGGGGCGCCCGTGATTTCAAAGATGATTGCGGTGGTTTTTTCTGTGGTGGTTATCTACATTGGTGATCAAGGCAAATTGAGGTGATTGTTGCGACTGTGGCGTCGCTTATTGTGCTCGCTGTCAGACTGCACGGCTCTTGAGCTTCAGCCCGCCCGCTCTGCAAAGGCTCATGCCCACGGCCGGCCGCAGCGGCCCCAGCAGCGGCAGCGGGGGCCCTGATGTTTGCACAGACGGGACCGCAAAAGGCGTGGCCTCGCGCCGGCTGCTGCCCTTGCACCCCGAGCTGCCGCGCTTGTCGCCGCTTCGTCGAGTGCAGCCAAGCGGTCGCCATTCAGTCCCTGGCATATGCGGGGTTCCACCCCGTTTCCTTCCCACCTTAATTGCAGACCTTTGCACTGTGCGTTCATTGAGTGCTGCACCCCAATCAGCGAGCAACGCGCACGCACCACCCCTGACATCAGCACCGCCGCTATTGCCTCTTACACGCGCCATGTCCGCCAACCCTCCATATCGCGACTCCCCCCTCGAATTGAATCGAGTGCCCAACTCGCCGAGCTGACCTTCCCAGAGGCGCCCTCACCTGCTTGGGCAGCACATCCGCCATCCCTCGCTGATGTCAGCGCCGTCGCGCTGGCCTCCTTCACCCCACCCACCCAACCAAACGGCCTCAGGGGCGCCCGCACCTGCATGTTGAGGACAAGCCCTACCCCCGTGCTGATGTCAGCGCCGCCCCCTTCCCCTGCACCGCTCAACTCGCACCCCGCCCACGCAACCCCCCCCCTTAAACCCTCCACCCAAGGGGCGCCCGCACCTGCTTGTTGAGCGCCAGCACAACCTCCTCGCTGACATCAGCGCGCCGCTCCAGCGCCAGCCGGTCGACGTCCGGCCCCGCCCCTAGGCGCCCAGCCAGCCGCGCGATCTCCGAGTCCCGCGCCGCCACCGAGCGCCGCGCGGCCTCCAGCGCGGCGGAGAGCTCCAAGGCCTGGGTGGCGAGTGACGTGCGGCGGTGACAAAGGGCAGTGACACAGGGGGGAAGACAAGCGACGGTGACACGGGGCGGTGACCCTCGCGGTGACACTCAGGGGTGGCACGCCGCGGCGATACGCCGCCGCGGCACACAGCGGTGACGCGGCCCCAATACAGGAACCAGGCTGGCTGAGAAGCGGGGCGATGCTCAACGCCATCAAGTCGGTGAGCTTCGAAAGGGACGTGCAACGCCGGTGGGGACAGCAAGGGGGCGAGCTGGTGCGCCACGGCTGCACGGTACGCAGAGGGCCGCGCGTGCTTGGCTGTGTTTGTGGACCGCCCCGGACCCACACCCGCACCTGCTGCTCGCGCTCCTCCAGCTGCCGCTGCAGCGACTCGATCCGCGCGTCGGCTGCCCGCTGAAGCTCCAGCATCGCCGGCGCCGGCCGGGCCCGCCGCACGGGCGAGGCGGCTGCGCAGGGCAGGGGCGAAGAAGTCGCAAGTCGCACAGCAGATTTGGGCCGCCGCCGCATGCTTCCGGCGTGGCCGAGCGCTGCACATGCATGCGCCACGTCAACCCACAGCTGCCGGCAGTCCAGCTTCAGCGAAACGCCCTCCAGCCTGGAAAACAACCTATCCACATGCAGAAACGCCATGAAAGCAGCTGTGCCCACCTATAGCCTTGGGCTGCACGATCTTCAATGAGTCGTCGATGGGCTCAGTCACGCCCCCCTTGGCGCGCCGCTCCCCGAGCTTGATGAGCTCCGCCACCCGCTTTTTGAGGCCTGCATTCTCTCGCTCCAAGGAATCATACCTTGGCGGATTGGCATACCGTAGGATTTGATGGGTGGGCGGCCGAAGCGTCGAGGGAGGCGCAGCGGGGCTGGAGGCGTGGCGCGGCCACGGCGCGAGGAGCAATTGAGGGGCGCACGGCGGGCGCGCGACTGGGCGCGCGAAGCAATGGCAATTCTGGTGACATGCCCGGCGGCGGCGACTGGGGGAGGAGCGCCGCCGCGGCCGCCGCGGCCGGCGCCCTGCGCTCCGCTGCTCACCGCCCGACCGCCTGCGCCTTCCAGTACGTCAGCTCCGCCACGCGGTCCTCTAGGCGCTTCGCGGTCGTGTAGGCGTCGCGCTGGGGGGGTCGGCGCACAGCAGGTGCAGACTCACGCGCGGCACCATTTCAGTTTTTTCGCAATTCGCGCCGGAGCTGTGCAGGTTCAGCTGTGCATGAGCAGCCTGCAAGATTCACATCCGCCACGCAGTTGCTTGCCGCTGCGCTGAAGCGCGCTGGAGCCGTGCGGTCGCGCTGCTTTGCCGGAGCGGGGAGCTGGCGGGCTGACTTGTCGGCGGGAGCGCACCCGCAACGCCTCTGCCTGCTCGCCGGCCTGTATGAGCTGTGAGTGCAGCGCGCTGTTCTCATTGGCGAGCCGGGTGCAGTCCTGCTTGACGATCTCGAGCTGAGCGGGGGCGGGTGCGGTTACGCACGGCGGGCCCCGCGGGCGCGGGCGAGGGTTTGAATGCGTGCACCAGCTGTTGGCAGCGTCAGGGCGCGTAAGACGCGTGTGCGACGACCTGAGGGTTTGACATAGGCTGTGACGTTCATCCCCGCTGCTGTTCAGATAGGTACATGCAGCGGCGCAATCGGCGCAGCACGGCACGGTGCCGCTCACCTTGGTGTTGAACGCCGAGATTTCCTGCGCATACTTTGCCGACTGGAGTTTGACACTGCGATAGCTGTCCGTCGTCCGTACAAGGTCTTCGACTAGTTTTACAACCAGCGGGGCAGAGGCCGCGTCCAGCCTTTCGGTGTAGTTCAGGGCCTCCAGCTTCCGCCGCAAGAGAACAAGACTCCGTTCATCCATCATGCTTAAGGACATAAAAGCAATATGCCACCTGCCGGGCGCGGTCAGATATCAGATCAGGGCACCCGCCATTTGAGCTGGACATGATATCAAAATCATAGCGCCGGCATCATCGACAAATACCTCTGGTGGTGGAGTCGTGCTTAGGGTGGCAGCTTTGGACTGGCTAGGGAAGCTGCCGCTGGTGTCACTGTTTGAATCTGCGACACGTGTAGCGCAGAGGTGTGTGCGTGGGTGGGCACTGCCGATGTCAAGCCATAATGCATGCGCTCACGCATGATTTAACCACCCATTCCGCTGCTACTGCAGTGCAGTGGAGGGTCAGGACGGGCGGTTTGTCATGGCTGTCGGTGCGACTTGCAACGCGGCTTAGCCCTGGTTGTTTGCAGTCCTGCCTGGATGGGTTTGTGCTGCAATTGCATTGCCCATGTGCAGGACTTCAGCATGACTTTCTGGTTATGCTCCGTGCATAGGTTGCACCTGTTTGGTTCATCTGCATTTATGATAGAAGGCATCAGAAAATTCTGCACTGCCATACTGTATTGTACAGCACTGCTGCACACATCACCTGCACAATGGGGCCGCAGTGCTGCGCGTAACTGCCAGTACACCCACCATACAAGCCCCAGCACAAGCACAGAAGGATCTTGTTTTAGACAGAGCGTTGATTTTGCATGACCCCAGCATTCTGACCGCACGTGTTGTGGCCTGCAGTATGCCCCCTAGGTTGAACTTCAACCCATCCTTGAATGATGGGTTGTGCGCAGGCATCCTGCTCGTCGACACGCGAAGTGGTGCATGACACCCCAGCAGGGAACAGCAGGCCCGTTGGCTTTGTACAAAATGAATCACTGAGATAATCCACAAGCTCTTCTACATGATTACAGAACCTGAGAGCAGTGTCACACATGCGAGTGAAACCTCCGGAATGGATGGCGTGAATAGATGGCGATGGAGTTACTGAGGCATTGTACACAATATTTCGAACATTTTTCTCTCAAGCGTTGAGTGATCAGTTGGCTGACCATTTGTTTTTCTGGGGAATCGTCTGCCCGAAGTGGGCTTGCAAATGGAGGCGGGGGAGTACCAGAGCATCCCAAACTTCACGCAAGACTCAGCTCTATGCGGCATCAGGTTGCTTGGACAGAGCCTGCAGGGCTTGGAGCGAGTGCGTCAAGCCCGTGCTCCCGAATGCTGCAGCACAGCGGAGGATGAGGGCAAGCCGCCATCACCGAGCAGCACCACCCAACATCAGCCCGCCCCATGGGTCCGTCATCACCAGGCACCAACGGTTGTGCAGCTTAAGGCACCGTTGGAAGGTGGGCGCAGCGCAGCAATGATGAGTGCATGCCTTCGCCAGGACTGTGCACACAGCAATAACAGCACTTCAGCAGATTTGCAGCCTGAACAACAACCTGTGATGCAAATTCCAGGGAGTGTTCAGCTTCGCAGTCATGCATGATGACCTTTCTTGTGCTGCTGCTTTCTTGCAAGCGCTCCGCAGAGTGCCCCCATGCATCTGCCGAGGCCATATCTGCAGCATTCAGCCCAATCGCCTGCGCCGGCATCAGGTCGCTGCCAGATGCGCTACGGCCAGGGTTCAGGGAAGTGATGTACGCCCAGCTCATCCGGCTAGGTGCGGCGGCACTGGTGGTGAAAAGCAGGTTTGGAAATGGGACGATCGCGGTACCGTATTGCTGGGCAAAGAACGGCCAGGGGAGTCTGTGCTTGGCTTCGCCCTGCAGGTGGGAGGTCGTTTGGGCAACGTCAGATGTCATCGCAACTGCATCAGTGAAGCAAGGGCGTGCCTAACAACCTTTTGTGACTTGCAATCAAGGCGCCTGATGCCTTGCTTGCAAACACACGCAGGACGTGTTGCAGTCGAGCAGCTGCGCGCCAGCCACAAGCCCGCCGGCAGCACCAGCGTCTCCCAAGGTTTCAGGCGACGGCAGCAGCAGCAGCAGCAGCAGCAGCAGCAGCAGCAGCAGCAGCAGCAGCAGCAGCAGCAGCAGCAGCATCAACAACAGGCTGCACCGCGGGGCCTGCATGGCAGCAGTCTGGCAGGCGTGTCGCGGCAGCAGCAAAGCGTTTCATCTGTTGCAACGGGGCAGCCTCCCGGTCGCTTCAGCAGCAATTACGGGCTCTTCAGCACCTTCGGGCACCTTGCCAGCGAGTACGAGCGGGCGGCGCAGGCAATCAGCCATGCGCGGCTAGAGCACAAGGCCAATCAGGCGCAGGTATGTTTGTTCAGGCTGTCCTGGGGCCGAGACTGCTGCCATGCACCAGGAGCAGGCAGCGGTGCTGCGGGAGCGGGTGCAAAGTACTGCGGATGGTTTGGCCAGCAAACATGTTCTTGCTGGGATTGCCTGGTGACATAACGAGGGTGCAATGCGGGAGCATCGTTGGAAATCCAACACCCCACATGCACGTGCGCTGCGCGCGCTGTGCACCCATTGCTCCTCGCAGGTGTGCGGGTCTGATTTTGTGGTGCGTTCCTGCCCCCTCGGACTCAAGGGGGTCCCTGCTTTTGCAGAGTTCTCGTTCGACAGCCGCCCCTTTGTGGAGACAGACCATCTTGGCCGCCCCTGCCCAGACACAGCCCAGCAGGTGCGAGGTTGAAGCTGCGCAGCCAACCAACGCTTGCATCTGCAGCCCCGCCCCACAGCAAGCGGGTCAACAGCAATGCTGCATATTGTGGCTGAGTTTTTTTGTTGGGACAACTGATCGTCATTAACGAAATTGGACCCCCACCCCTCTGTCCCGGCCCCCTCCAGATGGCAGCCGCCCCCAGGTATGGCATGTTCTTGCCAGCCGGCGGCCGCGCGCCTTCTCCGAGCGCCACGCTCAAGAGCCAGGCAGGCGACTTGCTGGCGCAGCTGGGCCGTCAGATCGGGCGCGACTTTCCCGCCAGTTTCTTGCAGGTGAGAGAACAGTCTTTGGAAGAGTAACAACGGGCAATCTAAGCGGAATGAGGCTGTAAAAGCCTACTCACCAGGGCAGGTGCTCATGTATGACCGCTGATTTCTTGCATTGAATTTTATACGCGTTGATGTATTGCTGGCAGTGCATCGCCATGCTCAAATGTCAGCCGCTGCCGCCTGCTGCCCAGCTCAAGCTTTGTTCCAATTCTTCTGAGAGCTGGTTTTGGTGTGTCGCGTCATTTACGCTCTGTGTTTGCTCAAGCCGCAGCATCGTCGCCTCACACAGAATTCATGTCCCACCAGCTGCATTGGCAGCAGACCTTGCGCCAGCTGTGCTGGCAGCAAACCTTGCGCCAGCTGTGCTGGCAGCAGACCCTGCGCCAGCTGTGCTGGCAGCAGACCTTGCTCGACTCAACACTCATGCGCACGCAGGCATTCCAGGACTCGCGGGGCGCGATTGTTGTCAGCTTTGCTCGCACCGCGGCCGCCGCTGAAGGAGACTGCACCTCCTACATGAACCGGCTGGCCAAGGCGGGCCCCTTGGCTCTGCAATTCAGGTGTGCTGGTTGCAAACGCAAAGACGCGGCATATGCCGTTCAAAGGCGCGATATCATATTCGAAACAATCGGCAAGATTTTCGGACGCACTGCTCAACGGCCAAGCGCAGATGTGTGCGCAAGGCATGCAGGCAAGGCATGACAGCCATGTGGTTGCGTCAACCCACCCGCACACTTCACAGGCTATGCAAGGACCCTTCCCGCTGGGGTTTCGTGGAGGACGAGGGGGACACCGCCTTCTATGCCCTGTGGCCTCCTTGGTCGCCGCACCGGCCAGAGCTGCCTGATGCGCTCGCCCGGCCGCAGCTGCCGCCGCCGCCCCCGCCCGAGGACGGGCAGGACGACGAGGCAGGGCCAGTGCTGCGGCGGGCAGCAACCGAGGCGCGGGGTATGGGACTTGGGGTGGGCATCCGGGGACTGCTTTAGATTCAGCTTTGGATAGGAACTTGCTCGACAAGCTGTAATGAAATGAATCTGTCTTTCGGCCGTGCACTGGCGAAGAGAACACGCAGGGTTTTGAGAAACAGTGTTGTATTGCTTGTATGGTTGTGGTCCAACAAGCGCTAGGTATTTACAAGACTTGAGAGCACAGTTATTTGATTACTTATAGTGTAGCCATACTCCGCGGTTGATTGCCTCTGGGCTTGTCAACGCGTTCTAGCTGGTCAAACCTGGGTTGACCCAAGATTGGCCAGACCAAGAATGGACCCAAAGTCTGCCTGTGAGTCTGATCGGTTCAAGTAGGCTGGTGTATCACGCAAAAAGGTGTGTGGCTGTGGTACAGGGCCCCTGCGGCCTTATCTGGGAACCTTGGCGGGACTTGTGAAGGTTGGCAGCTGCCGTCCTTGCTGTCCTTGTACCTGTATACATTGCAATTCGGTATTAAGACGGCCGCACATAATAACGCTGCAGCGGCCTACACACACAGTCTACCCTGCCGAGAACAACCTTGAACTTTCGTGCAGCTCGTTAGGCCTCTTGCCGTCCTACCCGGATCTCGAAGCACGCGACTGATGACAGCAGGACGCTTCATGGTGCTCGCGGCATGCGCGGTCATCATGCTGCTGAGCGGCAGCGCCCTGGCAGTCGCGCAACCACCCTGCAAGGTAAGTGTTGGCTCTACTTAGGTGCCACCACTGGGTGCCCCGCCCAACGGCCCCACACTTGCCAGCAAGCATTACTGCTGTGCGGAGTGGCAGCTCAAACAACCTTTGTGCGCATGTCTGCAGATCTACAAGACGTTTGTGCCTTCAACCACCACCAGCAGCATCATTGTTCCTGATGATTTTGAGGTGCGGTGACTAGGCTGTGCGCCTCGCAGCAGGACTTTGTGAGACGGCTTTGCGCAGGGTGGACAACGAGTGCAGCTGCCATCTGAACGTCTTGCAGCTTGTGGTGCTGGCAGCGGTTGGCGCTGGGTAGCTACCACATGCGCAAAGTAGCGCGGTGCGCCCGCCGGCCGGCAACTAATTCGCAGATTGCGGCAGCTGGCATCAGCAGGCTCGGCCACATAATCACTATGTCGAATTCGACCATGAGCGATACGCACACGTCCTGCTTGAATCCCGCATCCGCAGGTGGCGAGCGTCAAGGTGATGGGCGCGGCTGCAGGAGAGGTCACGCACGGCGCCACCCCGGCGGTCGCCCTCCCGCTCGCCGAGGGGTCGTTTGCCAAGTCAAGGTCCTCCGGCCAGTGGACCCTGCGCGGCCAGGACAAGTGAGCCATTGATTAGCGGGCGCTGCAGGGGGAGGGGCCGGGGCTGCACAGCTGGCGCGCAGCCCGGTCGGCCGTGACGCGGTTTCCTTGTCTTGAGGTCGTGCGAGGCCGGGCGGGGACTGGCTGGGTTGGTGCGCTTGGTTCCTATCAAGTATTGTATGCCGCTCGGCATGCATGAATCTGTAGAAGAGTGCAACTTGAACCGGGATCCAACCCCGCTCATCAAGTTTGCCGCACCTCCGTCCCATGCCTGCCCCTCCCTCCTCAGCGCCATCATCAGCACCTGGGCCCTGCTGCTGTGCCCTGCCGCAACGGTGGCAGCTGAGGTGAGCACATAGATAGAGGACCAGGACATTGCACTACTGCTGTATGGCGACAATGGCAGATCAATCGAAGCGGTCAGCAGAATAGGTGCCTGGGCAATACTTAGCAGGCACTGTGCCGTCTTTAGGCGTGGGCCTCGGATTTGCTGATGCAATTGCTGCATTCGCTGCATCACACCGTGCAGGACGGCTCCGACGACAGTACAGTGTCTGAGGTGAGAGGCACCATGCCCACCACCAAGGGGAACCGGCATGCGCATGTGGCCTTAAAAGGCTGCGCCAGGCAACACAGCTGTGGATGGTGCAGCACGCTTGGAGTGGATAGCCGGCTCTCAGCTTGATGTGTTCCAGCCAGCACAGCACCAGATTTTATCCATGTATCCCAGCAGCAAACGACGTGCCCTTCCCCCCCCCCCCACACACACACACTGACCCTCTCTTGCCGCTGCTTCTCAATTCAACCCAGGTCCCCGCAGCCAGCACCCGCGTTGCCGCCGCCGCCGGTGCCGCGGACGCCGCCGCCCCCTCGGCCGCCGGCGCCATCGGCTTCGTCCAGGACAAGCGCGAGATCAGCCAGGAGGCCAAGAAGGCCGCCTTCAACAACGCGGTCAACTACTTCACGGAGCTGTCAAACGTGAACGCTGAGAAGGTCAACAACGCGCTGCTCGCCGCGATCGCGGTCGTCGACAACAGCACCGCATCGGCGCGCAGCGCGATCTCGACCCTTGGGAAGGGCCTGACGGCCAAGGCTGTGGACCTCAAATCTGGCGGCGGGTCGCTCCTTGACAAGGTCGGTAGCAAGGATGGCGCGGGCGGTTGCACGCCAGTTGTTTGCAGGCGCTGGGTGTTGCAGGGGTTGGCTTGACCAATACCAGCACTATCAGGGCGCAGCGGCACAATGTGCGGGATTGCACCTGGCCGATTGACATTCCAACACGCACACGGCTCAGCGCGTGCGCTGCATGACGTTCATCACCTGCCGTACGACCGGCGCGCGGGCCATTGCAAACGGTCCCACGCAGGTCGGTGCCCTGAAGCAGGCGGGCGCGAACGAGGTGGCCAAGAAGGTCGAGAACGTCGCCGCCATGACCGCCGGCCTCGCGACTGCCGCTGGCTCCGCGACTTCCGACGCCGCCAACGTGGCAGGCACCGCCGGGGAGCTGTTCAAGCGCGCGGCGCAGGGCGTGTTTGGCGTGTACACGACCAAGGAGGGGCTGGCGAAGGCGCAGGTGCGGGTGCAGGCGGGCGGGGCCGCGGCCCCAGGGGATCTAAGTAGCTACCCTGAAACACAGGCGGCCGGCTTTGCGTCCGTCTTGGTCGGGGATGCGGCACCGGGGCGGAACTGATTGGCAGACTGGCTGCTCTACCAGTTGCCCATGCAGTGCGTGTGCTGCTGCCTGTGCCACCCGGGCAAAATTATTGGACCCTTTCATACCCCAGCACCGCAAACCTCCGCCGTTGCCTGGGTGCTTGGCCTGCCTGCCACCTGCCCATCGTGTTCTTTGCCAACCATCATGCTCCCTCTCTTGACCGGGGCACGTCCTGCGTCCTCAACCTCCCCCCCCCCCAAAACCAACCAGCTTGACGCCATGGTGGCCAACCACGTTGACAAGCTTAACTCCCTGGTGGGCGCCGGCACAAAGTCCCTCGAGAGCATCAAAGCCGGCAAGGGGCCGCTCACTGTCAATGGCATCGAGTTCCAGCAGGTGGGTCCAAGCGCAAGGGTGCGTTCCCTGCTGTGTTGCACTGGCCTGAAAGAAACAAACAAACAAACAAGCATTGCATTGCTCTTCTTGCAGCATCCCGTGTCCACGCTTTTTGCATGTCGCAAACCCTCCCTCATTCGTCCCCCCGTCACTGATTTCATGCCTTCTGGCCAATGCAGGCCAAGCTGGAGGCCTTCTCGGCCGCCCTTGAGCGCGTCGCCGCCGCCATCCAGCGCGCCCCCACCCCCTCCGACATGGCGCTCAAGTCCCTCCAGTTCGGCCAGAGCGCGCTGGCTAATTCGACCTCCAAGCTGCTGGCGGGCATCTCCAAATTCCACAGCTTGATGGGCAGCGTGTTCCCTGCCGTCAAGCAGATGGGCTGAAGGGGGCCGGCGGCGCACGGACGGCGTAGAGGCACGGGTTGTTGTGAGGCTTGGTAGGGTGGGGGTTGGCTGGGGCTCGGGGCGATCTTGGGCTCGGAGTGAGGTGGGGTTGGGTGCAGCTGCTGCGACAAGCGGGGTGCCGCGTGGTGCGATCCAATCATGTGATCGTGCCGTTTACTAATGGGTGATGGCCGCATTGTTTTCTGTGTAGTCGTATCAAGGGACCTGCAAGCGCGACACTTGTGTAAAGTACTGCCTGTTAGGCCTCTGAACCCCATGAGCAAGCGGCGGAGCGTGGGAGGTGCATGGCAGGCTAGCCATTGGCACTTCAGCCCAGATAGAAACGCTGAATGCGTTAGTCATGCGGCTGAACCGCATGCGATGGCATTTACAGCCAGGTGCTGATCATACTGCTCAGAGATCAGAGACTGCAGCGGGTGAGTGTGAAGCTTCGGGAAGTCGGACGAGATGGATGATGTCACTTTTGGTCATCCGGAACCAAATGTCGTTTTGCCCCGCTTGTGATCCTCATGATATTTGATTGCTGCTATTCCTGATAGACAGGCTGTGACGCCTCGGAGCCCGTGACAACCAGCTTCAACCGCGTCAGCGGCCTTCGTTCCTGAGTTCCCGGCCTGGGGCTCGGGGCAACCGCATTGTGTTGCAGCATTCTAGACAGCGCAATGAGCACGAGTCAGCCCCCCGCCTCTCCAAGCAGGGGCGGCGACGAAGCCGATCCGGGACCGCGCAGCGCCGCGCACTCTGACGGCCTGCTTGTCGAGCGTGTGGGTCCGCCAGACGATCTGCGCAAAAGCGCAGGCCTTGACACGTACCTAGACTCCCTAAGTGGCAAGGTGTTTCGGCCGTCAGCCGGAGACGCAGGTGCGAGGGGGCGGGGGCTGCCCGGCGCACGCTGTTTCAATGTGTGAGATCATGGCGGGGTTGGGAGTCGAGGAGCCGCGCACACACATGCGCACACGCGCGTGTAGCAGTTGTGGCATGTATTCTTACCCCGTAAAGGTTGCCAAGCAGCAGGCTCACATGTACCACAGCTTCAAACTCGTGCAGCGGTGCAGGTCCTGAAATGCTCATCCTCCCCCCCTCCGGATGCCACCCAACCCGCCTCGCCGTCCGCCATCCGCCGACGCCGACCGCAGTGGCTTTCAGCTGCCGCGTGCTGTCAGAGGGCGGAGATCTGCTGCATGATACCGAGGCGGAGGCGCCGCGCGTCCTGCTGCTGGGAGACCCTCTGGTGAGCGGCGAGGCGCAGCGGATTTTATAGGGCTCGCACTACCGACCCGACTCAATCACTCACATCACGCCCCGCGCCTGCTCGCATGCATGCGGGGGAGATGCTGTAAAAGCTCGCTTCTCAATGACAACAAGCAAGGGGGACGAAACGCTGCGCGTTCGTGCCGGCCAGGGGCTCCCACGGGGCTCGCCACCTGGGCGCGTCTGAATGCGCCCACCCCTGCCGGTTGGCTGCCGCTCGCGCGAGCAGGTGCCTCTCGGCCTGTCAGCGGCGCTGCAGCGGCTCGCGCTCGGGGAGGAGGCGCGCGTGACAATCCCCATGTCGATGCTGGAGCTGGCCTCGGATGGGTCCGGTCAGTGGGTGCACTGCGCATTGGCGTGTCAGGGACCTGACAGGGTTTTGTGGGTTGCGAGCCATGCAGCTGTTTTGCGTTCTGCTGCATCATGAGGAACCCTGTGTGAACGGCGAACCCTGTGTTTGTGACATGTGCGTACAGAACGCCACTTCACGGCACATTCGGCACCCTTGGCAGACGCTTTGGCCGCACCCACACGCACTCCCATTGCCAACACCCTCTCTGAAAGCAGGCCGCTCGCGCGAGATGAAGCTGCTGACCGCGCGGTGCCGCGCCGCCGGCCGCGCCGACGACGACTGCGAAGCCCCTACCGACCAGGACGGCCGCTCCGGCGGCGGATGCGTCAACGGCAGCGGCAGCGGCGGCAGCGGCGTCGACGGCGACGCCAGCCGCGGCGGAAGTGCCCCGGCGGGTGCGGTCGCAGCGGGCCGCTCCACACCACATCAGCAGGAGGGCGGGCCTTCGTCCCCTCGCCCGCCGGCGTCGACAGACGCAGACGTCGCGCCGCAGCCGCAGAGCCCGGTCGGGGCGCAGGGCGTGGGGGCCCCCGACTCAATGGCCTCGACACTAGGCAGCAGGCAGTCGCTGCCGTCCGCAGCCGACGAGTGGGCATCACCCCTGCACAACGGCCGCCGCCTGCCGCCCCCGACCCCCGGCGCGGCCAGTCCCGCGCGCGGCGGCGGCAAGCCGGCGGCGCAGCCCCTGACTGCGGGCGCGGCCGCGCTCTCGGGGCCCGGCGGCGCGCAGCGGGGCGGCAGGGACAGCGGCGGCTCCCCCGTTGGTGCAGCCGTGCGGCGGCTGTCCCCCTCCAGTTGCTGCGGCCCCCACCAAGGGTCACCGCTGCTGCCCGAGGCGCCCCCCGCTGCTCGTCTGAGCGGCGACAGCAGCAGCAGCAGCAGTAGCAGCGGTAGCGACCCATCTGGCATCATCGCTAGTGCTACCGGCCAGCCGCGGCCGGCTGCTGTCGGCCAGGCGGGTCGATCTGGCGGCGCAGACGCTCGCTTGCGGGCGGATGGCAACGGCGGCGGCGGCGGCGCGGCGGCGCAGGCGCAGGGGTCTCCGCAGCACGGCGGCGACGACCGGCGGCGCGCCGGCCACAAGAATGCGAAAGGCGGCGACCACTCGACTGCCTCGGCGGCGGCGAAGTCCGCAGCCGCGACCATGAAGGGCCGTGGGCACAAGGGCCAGTCCAGTGGCGCCGAACCTCAGCTGGAGCTGATGCCGGAGCTCCCAGCCGTCGCCGCGTCCGCCTCCGCCGCGGCCAACGCGGACGCGCGCCTGCGAGACCAGGCTGGCGCCGGCGAAGCGAACGAAGCGGGAGGGGAGGCGGGGGCGGCGGCGGCGGCGGCGGC